TCACCCTCTGGCCGGTGTAATAGGCCTGTCGGGCGTAGGCCTTGGTCTGCCTCCTGGAAAGGAGGTGTTGATACACCGGGTTGGATAATCGGTCTGGCAGGTTCCGGCGAGCGGGGACCGCTCTCTCTTCTTGCCCCTGAAGGTGCTGGCCCCATTCTGGTCGGCAGAGCGTATGGTCATGATCTCGTGTGGGCCGCCCTGCTGGGGTTTCTTCCTCCTAGGGTTCACATCGGCGTCGTCATCACTGTCGACGCCTTCTTCGAAACGTCCCCCCTTCTTTCTCTTCTCCCCGGAGTGGGTGAATCTTTTCATTTGCGGGTCATCGATCAGCTTGAGCAGTGCCAAGATCAAATTTCGGCACTGGTCGGTATTGTGCCCGTGCGCCTTGTGGTAGGTGCAGTAGCGGGTTTTGTCCACCTTGTCTTTGTCAGTGAACATCGGCTTCGGGTCCGGCAGCAGCCCCTTCGCCTTAATCTCCTCATAAATCGCGGCGGCTCCCACCGAGAAGACACTCTGATAGCTTTCTTTCAGCTATTTAGCTCTTTGTCTCCGCTGAGCTCGGATTTCAGCGAATGATTTGTTCGGCTTTCCAGGTTTCTCCTCCTTCGCCTTCGCCTTTGTCGGCGCCGGCGTGGTGTCGAACGTCGGGATTGACGAGGACTTCTCCGCCATTATGTAGTTCTGAGCTCGGGAAAGGAACTCCTGGTAAGTAGTCGGCTTGTTCTGGCACAGGGACCACTTAAACAACGTTTTTGGTCTCAGGCCGCCCTGAGCGGTGATCAACAGGGCGTCGGGGTGGCACCGCTCCATGTTTTGGACTCGGTCGTTGAACCGAGCGTTGTAGTCCTTCAAGCTCTCGTTCTCCCCCTGAACAATGTTGGCGATGGACTCCTTGGGGGCGAGGTTGACCTGCGATCCGATGAAGTGTGACCGGTACGCCGACCTGAGTTGCCCCCAGGTGGAGATGGAATGAGGGTAGAGAGAGTGATACCACCTCTGCGCCTTCGGCCCTAGTGTCAGGGAGAACGTGCGGCAGCGTAGGGCGTCAGAGGCGCCATGCAGGTCCATCCAAGATGTGCACAGGCCGATGTGGGAATCTGGATCCGAACTCCCGTCGTAGAGGTCGAGCTGCGGCACTTTTATCTTCTTCGGGACGGCTTTCCGTAAGATGTCTGGGGATGGAGGTGAAGCATCGTCCGCAACTCGAGGGGTCGGCCGTGCGTAAGATTGCGGATAGGGAGGGAGCGATAGCTCACTCCTAGACGGGTGTCGGCCCTCCAGTTCAGCGATTCTGCGCTTTAAGGCCGCGACCTCATCAGTATCGCGCCCTATGGTTTTGCCTCGCTCAATGACCTCCCGGAAGTCGCGGTTGGCCTGGCTCTTGTCGCCCAGGCGCTGGTGAATAGGACGGCGAACGATTTGGAGGCTTTACTCCGGACGGCTTTCACCCGTCTGTTCGGTGGGTGCCAATCTGGAGCTTTTGCCGCGGCGGTTTCGGGCCTCAAGGTTGGGTGATTGTGCTGTGGTTTTGGATTTGACCAGAATCGGCCTCTGTCCCCCGGCCCCCTATTCGGGAGTATGACGTAGGGTATTGCCGGGGTTTTCCGTGGGCGCCACGATATTTCCCCCGGCTGCCTGGCTGGCGAGCGCCCTTGCGAAGACCCCCTTCAGAGCTTTGAGGACGTCGGGATGCTGCATGGCCTCGGCGAAGGTCGGGACTGGAGGGACAGGGACTATGGGCCTCTACTGAGCACGGCGAGAAGTCTCTCCGTCGTTACGCTGACGAGACTGGGCACCGGACTGTTGGGTTGACTCATTGTGGCCGGATGACGGCATTTTGGGTAGCTTGCGGAAGTGAAGAGTAGGAAAAAGATGAGTGTGACGTGGAGTCCCACAAGATCAAAAAATTGACACCAAATAACTTATGGGCCCTTCTTCTAGCGCCAAACTATTGACGGGCGTTTCCGGTCAACGGTTAAAAAGAGAAATAATGAAAAGATAATGAGGAAAAGACAAAGGAACACGATTTAGTTATGATTTTATTAACTAATCACGAGGTCGACCTCTCGTACGAGGTTGGCACTTGCGATATACTTACGAATTCTTACACAAATTCTTTACAAGTTTAGAGAGAGAAAGTAGAGAGAGAGCCTAAAAGTTGGAGATTCAACAACCAAGAATAAATGCCCAAGACCTCTATTTATAGGGTTCTTAAATGCAACACTGTTCGGGCACTATTCTTTGGTCTTGTCGCACAGTAACTCGGCAAGACAGGCCGCCGCTTCTCTGACTGATTGGGCGTGATTTGTGGATTTCCCAATCATTACCTGCAACGCATTTAATGCTGATATGGGTTGCATTAAATGCGGACATACTCTTTGGCCGAGCTAGACATCCTAGACCTGCAGGCTAGTCTGGGATGTCCCATCGATAATCATTGATAAACAAGTGGCCTCAATTTTATTATTTCTCAGGTCCTCAACCCCTGTGAAGGTCGGCCTGATGGGATCCCAGGTCGGAGTCCGGCATCCAATCCACCCCCGATCTCCCGGGTTCCATCTTTGTACGGCGTTTAGCCAGGCCGGCACCGTAGCGTGGAGAGAGAGGTGCCGACCTTGGAAACGAGTCGTCCGCCGCTCTCGTTGACTTTAAACTTTGCTCAGCTCGGCACTTCCGAATCAATTAGGTGACCGGCCCCATCGGTCGGGTCGACTTCGGCCGATTCCTGATCCCTTGGATCAGTACCTTTATATGAACCCGACTCGGATATCAACAGGTTAATTGACATTTATTAAGTTAAAATATCATATAACTTGAATTTTTTTTTTTTTTTTTTTTTTTTTTTTTTTTTTTTTTTTTGTGGAAAACAATTGATATTTTAACTTATAAATGTCAATTAAGTTGCATACGTATCCCTTATATTGGGAATCAAAGTCCACGTAGTTATTTTGATTTACTTACCTGTACACGAGTGGTTGTCTTTAATAGCCGTACTCGTCATCTGTTGTTCCGGTTTCACTCGTAGTACTCATAAAATCGGATGCGTCGTCGTCGTCGTCCGCTTCTTCGTCTACGTACATAGCTGTTTGTATCCTTCGTTCAGCCTTCTTCCAATCCAACACCAGCATTTGTGCTTGTAGATTTTCGGGTGTCAGCCTCGATCGTCGTGCATCGAGCATATAACTTCCCTCGCTGAAGGCTTATTCGACCGCAACTGTAGATGCTGGGACGGCGAAAATCTCTTTGGCCATCAAGCAAGGAATAGGATATATGCCTTGCATTCTCGACCACCAGTCCAAGACATCAAAATTGAGTGGCGGACTTGGTTCACGAGCAATCGTAAGTATCAAATTCGACGCTAGGTAGTGATCAAGCTCATAGTATCCAGTTCTCTTTGCCCTTTCAATGCTAGCATTCTTGTAGGGATTTAATGATGCCCACCACTCCTTATTGTTCGAAGCGCCTATTTGACTACTGCCGTAAGAAGAAGACCCGCTGCCGCCGCCGCCGCCACGAACAAATGTGCTGGGAGGTTCTCCTTGTGCGATCGCTGTTTCCCTAAACATGTCATACAACAATTTTTTTGCTTGCTCGACCAGCAGCAGTACGTTAGGTTTTTGACTGTATATCGGGACATCAGTCGGGATTGGGAGTTCATACATATAATTATAGTACATGTTAAGCTGCTCTAACAAGCGAGCTTCACGTACCGAAGGATCTAACAAACATGCAACTAAATGTGTATCAGGAATGAAATAATAATATTTTAACCATTTGTTTAACATTTCTTCAACTAAATAGCCATATTTATTAAAATTCAAGTCGTAAAGATCCTTAAAAGCCCACATTATGGCTAAAGCTTGACTTAACACAAGCTGAGCAGTAGGATAATAAACACCTGAAAGCATGTTAGTAGTATTTTGAAATGTTTCTAAAAATTGAATAAGTGCATTACAGTTTTTCCAAACTCTTGTTGACACTCGGACATCACAGTCCTTACGGTTTTCATGGTTAAAAAACTTCTGCAACTGTGTTATAAATGGAACCGTATCACTCAACATTTTAAATGTTGAGTTCCACCGGTTAGGAACGTCGGGTTGAAATTTTTTAGGTTTCAACCCTTGATCTTTACAAAATCGTCCCCATGCTTTCATTTCATGGGAACGTTTATGTAAATAATTAGCAGCGTTCCTAATTGGCGTGACCAAATCTTTAAAAGCATGATACCCAGCTTGTACACAGAGATTTAAGACATGACATATACAAAGTATATGAAAAATCTTCCGCCGCAAATGGGAGTGCAAATATCGGTAAGTTCACGTATAGATGCAGTATTTGCAGTAGCATTATCAAACGAAAGGGAAAACATTTTTTTACCTATTTGATATTTATCCAAAATTTTTGAAATTAAACGAGCAATATTAGAAGCAGTGTGTCGTTCATGAAATGCAACGTAAGCAATTAAATATTTTTGTAAACTCCAATTTTCATCTATCCAATGACAAGTAATTCCCAAATAAAAGTTATTTTACCAATGATCAGACCAGATATCAGCACAAATGAATACTCTATGATTTAAAGATTTAAAAAATTCTTGCAAAATTAATTTTTTTTAGCCATTATTTTTCGAATATCCCGAGTAAGAGTAGTACGTGGAACCCGGTGGGCAGCCGGATTCGAAGCTATTTGAGCAAAATGTCCATATAAATCACTATCACCAAAACTAAATGGAAGAGATGAAGCAGAAACAAATTCAGCTAAATGGCGTCTATGATTTTCATGTGAGTACTGAAATAAAGATAGCGTACCTGTACCAGTCGTGGCAGATGCAGCGCTACTACTCGGGAATTGCGTCTGTGTTGTGTCAATTCCCAATTTTGTCGGATGACAACTCTGTAAGTGTCGTTTCAACGATCCGTACCCGTCGCCTTTTTTGAAATGGTACCTCTTCTTGTCGTTGATCGGGCAGTAGTCGCAAACAACATAAAAGTGATTCTTACCTCTTTTCGGATTGGCCTCCTTCATGTAATGTTGTTTGAACATGGCAGATCCCGGTCTGCCACGGGCGAAGGCAGAGGCCGGGTTCGGGTTCGGCTGCTCCTGCTGCGTCGGTTGCTGAACCTCCAGCGGGGACTCTCCAAATATATCATCGAAATGGTCGTGATACGGCTGCTGCTGCTCTTGTTGATGAGCATGAATTGAGCCGAACATGCGGTCGATCGTCGCCTCATCAATGTCATCGGCGACACCGAGAACATGCACATGTATCGATGGACTCGCAAATTCCAGCAATCTCGAGGAAGACGTGCCGGTGTCGATATTTCTACGTTTCTGTACAGAATTCGAACTACGACCACCATTAGAGCTCGATATTTTTTAATTTAAAGAATAAAAAATAAATTGAGGAAAATTAATATAGAATATGAATATATGATGATATAAAAAAAAATGGGAGATGCGGTATTCTTTTTTTTCGGTTTTTCTTTTTTTTTTTGAAACCGAACACAAATCTAAAAACGATTAACCGAGCAATGAAAACCGAACACTAAAAGATAGATAGTAGAACACTAGAACTTAGAGTTAGAGAGAAGGGAGAGAGAG